CGTGGACCCAGCGCTGGTCTCGATACAAAGGCACGAAAGACCTGCCGTTCTCCCGAGATTCCTCACTATAGCGGCCACTTGGATAAATAACTCACTGGTCCCTCTCATGGTCAGCAGGTCAGTCATAGAAGAGTAGGGTTGTTCCTTCCTTCTTTCTTTCTTCATTTATCTATTCTTCCTTTTCTCTTTCTTTTCGGTGACAGATACATATATATATACACGTGTATAGATAGATACGTGTGTATGTTGTTAAAATTGAGAGAAAGTCCGACCCGAAATTATTCATACAAATGAACATTAAAACTCACAGATAGATATAACAACATCTATCAAACATATAATATTAATATTTTTGTGTTTATTTTTTTATACTGTCCATATATATGAACATTCACTGGGTCGGGTCTCTTGCGATTTTAACAAACCGATCGATAGACTTTCAAATGCGTTCAGATAGTTATGTGTGTGTGTGTGTTTATCTGTCTATCTCTATCTAAATTAATAGATTATATGTATGTGTGTGTGGGGGGGGGGTCATGTGTGTGTGTGGGGGGGGTGGTTCGTGTGTGTGTCTCTGTGTATGTATATGTGAGTGTGTGTGCTGTTTATTGCTGGTATCTGGGCGTTCTATGTCTAGCAATCTTCTGACCTACGTTTCAGTTCATAATATAGATATATAACTCTTATAGCACTACGATTATATATATATTTATTTATACTACTAGTTATAGTAATATATATCGATTATAATTTATATATATAACCTATATGATACTATTAGTGTATACTCTATATTTATATATAAGTAATACACACTTAAATTTATATATAAGCGGTATACTACTATATTATGAATAGTTATTATATTTTAACCTATGGTACTGTCGTGGTCGTGTGGTCGTGTGTGTGTGGTGTACTCTTTATAGTATGAGTATCTCGCATTGCGTGTCTTTTCGTTTGTTGTGTGGTGCCGTTGCTGGTTTGTGTTTTATTGTCCCTTGTAGACATATCTAACGTACTATTAGGTAGCCACATATTATTAACCTTATTTAGTTAATTATACATTTCGTAATATTATTATATCAATCACTTATTTATTAATAAATATATATTTTTCATTGCCAGCCTATCGTAGTATAACGTTCAATATAATTTATAATCAGGGAATTATATAATTACTCACATTATATTTTTATTAACCTTACTAATACAGGGTGTACTAATAATCATATTTACTTCTTCGTCCAGCAATCTTTCATACTCGCCGTACGAGTCAGTTCATAATATTATGATATTCCCATAGTTATTCAATCAATCTACTTTATACTATATTATATTAATATTCCTTACTCTCTCTATAATATCATCATATATCTATATACTATATCTCTCTAACATAATCATATATAGCACATCTTGTGGATGATTACGTCATATTATTGATTAGTTATGATAGTACCGTACTTCATCCGCTTCTCCTTGATATATATATATACTATATTGTGTGTGTGTGTGGTGGTGTGTGTGGTGCTCGTGTGTGTGTGTCGTGTATTAAATTGTCATATATATTGTGATTCATAAATGCTGTTTCCTTATACCATAGATGGAGTAAATTTTTCACGTGTGCTCACGTGTTGCGCTTTTATGATCGCAACTGTTGAAACCATCGAAAGTGATTAGTGAGTAATTTGATTCTCATTAGACCGCTGCATGAGCACATCGTGGATATTTAGGCAGATGTGTTAGACACATCAACACACCACACACCAGCCATCACACACACACCAGCACCAACACACACCACTCACCACTCACACTCACACCACACACACAATCCACGTATCACACACACACACGCCAACTCTCATCACCTCATCACACGCAAGCTCCATACACGCACGACTATCACACACTCGATCATCACACACACAAGACAATATCAAAATAAAAAATAAATAAGAAACTACACACATCCATCTACCACGTACACACTACAATCTACACCCACACCACTACACATTCCCTCTGGCTCTGCACTACCCACACACAGCACACACTCACACACCACACCACACTAATATAAATGTTAGTATACATCCATTCATTCAGCACATCACACACACACGCAAGCACATATCACCCGCACACACCATCACACACACTCCACACTCCACGACACATCACTCGCCATCGACACACACACACCACCTTGAATAACACACCACACACACCACCACGCACGCACGCACGCACGCAGCGCACACACAACCACAGCACTACCATACACAACAGCATTAGACTATTTAGCTTTTTTATATCCATCATGTACGATTACTAAGGATGCATAGTACATATAGCTACTGGCACACCATTTACACAATACCAAAACATTACACGTATAGCTAAACATGAGCCATGACACATACGGTTAAGCTCTGTTGTACGCCGGTGTCTTGCAGTCTCTCCATCGCAAACTCAACATTTTTGACGGTGGTGTGTGTGATGAGACTCATTCAACTGGTTCCTGCCTACAGAATAACAATTTATCGAATTTGTTCTCGCTCGCATACCACAATTTTGAAAGAGAGGAGAAGATTAGCTTTCTTAATTCGCACAAAGAAACTTGAATTGTAGAAGACATCAATAGTGCTTAAATGCGAGGTATGCGAGTTATACAAAGCTTCTCAAAGAGGTTGTGAAGTAGTTTCCTATGCATTTCGGCACAAAAGGAAATTGTCATTATATCATACAGTCAAAGTTGCTTGTCATATGCCAGATCACTGATTAATAAAGGTTTTCAAGAGGTCTGGAATTAAGTTTCTCTTATTGTCGTGCACAAAGAAAATGATACAAATAAACATTAAGTACTTAATATGGGAGTTATGATTATACACAGTTTTCGAAGAGGAGGGGAAGTTTTTTTATTTTCGCATAAAGGAAATTAAAATAAAGGCATTAAAAGTACTTAATATGCAGTATGATTAAATTAAAATTATTCAAATTAAAGGAAAAACAAACCTGCCTATTTTACAATTTATTTTTTTTTTCATATACACACCAACTCTTCGCTTCGCAAGGTTGTGGAAACCCATATAAATTTTTCAGATTCAGTCATTTTTTATTTATTTATTTTTTATACATAAATTGTTCCTCAAGTGAAAAGTAGAAGTTGCATAAAGTTTTGAATCATCGAATACACCGCGAGAGTGAGCTGTGATTGCATAGTCCGAATCTCAAACTTGATAATTCTAATGATCAGGGCATTAATATTTTGTTTTCTGTATATATAAAAAAAATCAAGATACAGTCTTTAATATTTGATATGTTTGAGCCTGTAAGGTTTATATAAGGGGTAAAGAATTATTTTTAAGACGTATCTCACTGAAGTCAATACCATATAGATATCGATATATATATATATATATATATATATATATATATATATATACTATATATATAATATCTATTCATATCTATATCTATATCTATCTATCTATCTATATATATATATTATATATATATATATATATAATACAATATATATCACATATATATGTATCGTATATATATCATATACTTATTATAATAAATATATACACAAACATATACACGTATACATATTTAACACATCTTTAAAGGCCATTTTGTAGCATCCCTAAACCCCACATTTTGAATTTAAATCAATATGGCTCATACACGTTGCAAATTCTGAACGTGTCATTTCAGCAACCTTCATGACTGACTGAATTTTACACATTTATATAGAGTGAACTGTATTTTGTACTACTTAAAAAGGTCCAAAACATTCATACAGTTTTATATCAGAATTTCAATATATCAATATACGTTGCGGTTAGAAATTAATGAAAATATAAATCCCCGAGACTTTATAGAAAAAAAATATCTGATAAATAACGCGCTCTGATTGGCTGGTTGGAAAGCATCGCACTGTACCAAGATAGAGGCATATAAACTGATACAAA